TAAAAGGCACTAAGTTTTACAAGGTTGTGAGAAAATTAATGCTTTCATGGTAGGAACACTGTGACAGATAGTGGAGAAAGGTGACAAAAAAATTCAAAGAAGATAAGTATTTGTTGTGCCTAAATGCATAGTGTCAGACCTTGCCTGTTGCAGTTATAGTCCCGAAATAAAAGTAAACCACAGGCTGTGTCTATGTTTCTGCTGTTGTTAAAGAAAACTTCTTGCTATTCCACTATTTAAATATACTAGATTTCTTTTGCAGCCTGCCATTGCAAATTCTTGGTATGGGTGATTTTCTTGTTGCTCTGAACTTACCTGCCCTATGGGCTCTGGAATCACCCTTTGAATTCCAGGTGCACTCTCAAGTGAGTCTTAAACTTTGTTTTTCTATTTGCACCCAATACTGAAGCCATGGTGTTGAATTCCACCCATTTACTCCGCTTTGTGACAAACCTTCCCTTAGCCCCTGTTTTGGAGAGATTTTTCTTCACTGTATGTTCACTATATATTTATTAATCTCTTAATATATTGTCACATTATCCTTATAACACCATGTACTCTTTTTAGAAATCAGGAAATAACTTATCCACCTTCACCTAGAAAACAAGTGAAAGTTGGAATGAACTCAGAACTGTTTGACTCCATCAGATTTCTATTGGAATGTTTTCTTCCAACTTGTTCATCTTAAAGGAGGAAAATAGTGCTGAATTCATTCTGAGCCAGTGATACTGCATAATATGTTCTTTAACTTTGTGACATGGGAGAACATTTGAGTTGATTTTTTGTGTGTAGGAAATAAGGTATGTGTCCTGTTTCAAACTTCTGCATGTGGAAATCTAATTTTCCAAATACAATTTACTGAAGAGGCTGTCCTTTCTCGAGGGAAAGTTTATATCACCTTTGTCAGATGTAAAATGGTTGTAGATGTATGAATTTATTTCTGTTTTTTTTTCTATACCATTGGCCTATCTGTCTACTTTGATGCCAGTACTATGTTTTTTTGGTTAAAATATCCCTATTGTATATCTTGATATCTGGAATTCTGATGCCTCTACCTTTGTTTTTATTGTTCAAGATTGCTTTGTTTTTCAGGGTCTTTCATGTTCAGTACTTATCTATTGGACCCTTAAAAAGATCTTCTGAATAATTGATTTGTTTAAGCAAGAGGTGATATAACTAAGATGGCTTTTTGGGAGAGAAAGAATTGTTGGTAGCTACATAAGACGTTCTATTTTTGTAATGGCACAACTAATGGCGGTGATTCTTCTGGGTTTTAGAAGTATGGCTTATTCATTTCATTTAAAAGTAAGGACTCACTTATTTTGGTTTGACACAAATAGCAGGGCATATTATTGTGCAGAAAATTATAACTATACATGGATTTTTAAGTTAGATCAACAATAAAGTAATATTTCTTTGAATTTCCATCAAATATTTAAAGGCAATTATGTGCAATATCATGACACTGGCAGTAACAATTTTTTAAATATAAATTTACTGAATTTAAATAAGTAAAAAATTTATTTCCTTAATCATATGCTCAATAATCATATATTGCTGAGAACTACCATATTGGAGAAAGCAAATCTATAACATTCCATATTGCTTTACTGGACAATGCTACCAAAATATTATAGTATTTGAGATTTAGAAAATGTGCAATTAGAATATGAAAACACATTATGGTTTTATTTTATTTTGTTACATTTTACAAAATTATGTTATATGATAAATATGATAATTTTAGAAATTAATTGCATATAATTAATTTTGCTCCAATAATGCATATTAGTGGAAGAGTTGTGCATTAATCATTGAATTAAACATTTTAAACTCAATTGTATGTTTGCATTCTGAATATTTAGAAAATTATAAATATTAATATATTGAAAATGCTCATTTAAAATTTCATAGTATTTTGAATAAGCAAAACTTCAGATATAAAAAATACCAACTTTCAGAGTATAAAACACATTTCCAACCCTCCTTCCACTGAAGATCATGGATAAATGTATTATCAAAAACAGTACAAGTAAGCAGACTATCTAGAAGATTTGGTTGTGAACTACTGCTAAAATGGGTTGACTTCTAATGTAATTATGAGTCTTACGTTACTCTAATCAAATACAATTAGGCTTCTTTCATGATATTTCTGGAAAGCAAAGATCCAAATATACTTAAATCCTTTTCCTTCCCCTCATTTTCCCATGTATTTAATACATTCTAGTTTACTGTTTGGATATAATTCTGCATGATAAATTTGTTGAAAATCAAAGGCTTACATCACAGCAACATTGAATAGAAGCATTAGGGATCCAAGGACAATTTGAGAATGGAACATTGAAACTTTCCTCTGTGGCATTCAAGTGTTTTTATGCAGTGTTGGAGCAATCATTTCGTCCTGTCCATGAGCTAACAAGAAGCCTTTGACAGGCTGCCTCTCTTTGCTGCTGTAATTTTGCAACCAAAATGAAGATTTTTGAATCTTCATGAAGTATTGACCATCACCATGCAGAAGACAATATCTGAGTATAAAGTCATGTTGAATATTAAATGGGAATTATAAAGCAAAATTTGAAAGAAACGTGTGTTTACTGGTTGTTAAAGGCAACAAACCGCCTTAACATTTGCATCCCCCTCAAATTGTGTGTCTTTGATTTCTGGAAACATTTTACTTGTACTCCTCCATTATTCTTGGATGGAGCCTAATGGCTTTGAATATTTTTGTTCATATTTATCTTTTAAGTGATCAAAAGTGAATAATTTACCTGATCTCTTGGGCTCAAGAATGAAGGTCAGTTATTTCCTAATGATTCCCAGTTCATCAGGCATTTCCGCATTTATAAAAACTACCTGGGTGTCAATGAAAAAAATTCAAGTTGTGGTTTCGGATATAATTTAAGCAGTGTTGCAATATATTCTGAGAATTCATATGGTGGAGATTTTACCAAAACTAACGGGAAAGAACATTAAGTCCCCACATTACAGCTTCACCTGAGAATGACCTCCAAAAAGAATTGTGAGGGAAAAGTGTATGTCTGAAATGTGATGCCTCGGACAAGAAATGGAACTTCTCTTCCGCTAGGTGCATCAAGAGGAGGTAATTTCATTGTTTATGGTAGAAGAAGCAGAGCCATATGTTTAATATTGTGTACGTTGTTGTCATGCTGAAGAAAAGAATTTCTACTTTGAGGAAGTCAGTGTTGTCCAACCTACAGAAGCTAATTAGCAGAAACTAATTCTCTTCAAATTGTGTCTCACTCTTCCAGCATATATATATATCCAACATGTTCATTGATATATATATATGTATACATAAACATATATATGTGTATATAATATTATTTGCCTTTAAATGTAGATCTTCAAGTCTCTTAATAAAGGTGAAATAAATTTAACAGATATGAACTACCAAAAATGCAGTGATAATACTAAATCATGATTTGAATTTTGAAAACTCCAACTTGAAAAACTGATTCTAGAGAAATATAAGGGTGTTTCAGAAATATTGTGGAAAATGGAATTAAAAGATAAGTTTATTTTGGTTGCAAAAATTTTAAATCCATGCATTTTTCATAGTGTATTTTCCATTATGTATAAATTTCTAATTTTATATCAAAATAAATATATTTTAAATTCCATTTCCATGAATTTTTTGTAATATCCAACATTTATTTAAACCCATATTTTATGTTTCCATATTAAGACTTCACAGATGTGATTTTATTGCTATAAAATTTGAAAAATGCATTTTATTATATGTTTCTATGTATCTTTTAACCACAGAATTAATGTATCAGGGTTAAAATAAATCTCACTATCATTACCTGCTCCTCTTTATTATTTATATGCAGTGCTCTATTTATGAACTAAACTTATTTTCCCTAACACAGATTCTTTAACATTTGGATTGCAGTAAAAGTTTTTTTTTTTTAAATCTAGCTAAAAAATTCAGTTATCTCAATACACAGCGATTGGTTTATGCCTCCCCCATATAAATGTCATAGATATTAGACGCCTCCTGCAGTAGTTGTCCTATTACTTTATAATTTTGTTGTTTCAACAAGTACCTATTGAACATCTTGATCACCAGAAATTTAAAATCATTAGAGTCTGTTAATAATTAACCACCCTCTGCCCCTACATATGCTCCTTTTCAGTTGCTGTTTTCGTTGTGCATCTTGTCAAGTTAACTCCTTTTCAGGTCTTCATATCCTCCCTGCACTTACTGCACTAATTCCTCCCCAAGTTCCCGCCTTCTGTCATTATGTCCAGTTTTTTTTTTTTTTTTTCCCTCTTAGTTTCCTTGTATCTTTACTCTTTCTCTCCCTGGTTAACTCCCTCCCTTTCTTCCACCCAGTGATTGCTATTCATTGAGAAGAATTAATCTAGTTATTTACTATGGTCACCAAGGCTTATTAATTTTTTATCAAGATGTTATACATTTCTGGCAAGACTGTTGGAGCTATTAGCTAAATGCTGTTTGGAGGCCCGCAGCCCATAGCAGAGTTCCTGGATAGCATCCTGACTCTGGTTATTTCTGGTATGCACACTGAGACGCAGTAGATAATGGCTCAAGTACTTGGCTCCCCACCTTGGCTGTTGTGAGCATCTGGGGAGTGAACTAGCAGATGGAAAATCTCTCTCTCTCCTCTCTTTCTCTCTTTCCATTTCTTTGCCTTTCAAATAATCTAAAAAAGAAATGAAAGAAAAAATTTATGACATGGTACTTTTCTTATTTCTCAAGAATTTGCTTTGCTTTTCCCAATTAAAAATGTTTTACGTACATTAACAGGCAAAATGTGTGATCATGAGATTGCATTTTAGTCAACATAATTGCATTTCTGTCACTTAGAAATGTCAACTTTGGGATTTATATGAATTAAACTCTGTTCTTATATATTTATGACATATAAAAAATAATCTGTTTATTAGTAATTTGTAATTTTTTGAAAAGTTTGTTTGAATGGTAGATCAACAGTGTCTGCTCATTTCCTCAGATGCCGGGGCTGGGCCAGACCAAAGTCAGGAAACAGGAACTCCAGCTGGGTCTGTCATGTGGCAGGTAGGGACTCAGTTACCTGAAGCATCAACAGCTGCCTTGCAGGGAACCCAATAGCAGGAAGGTGGACCAGAAGTGGAGATGGGACTCAATCCCAAGCACTCTGGTACGGGATGGGGCATCCCAAGTGGCGACTTAACTGGCTCTACCCCCCCAGGAACATGTATCGTAAACTCCATTTTCCAGTTCATAATTTATAGTGGTTATAAGAAAATGTATAAGATATTAAGATAAAAGACCAATGAGGCTTATATAGAGTTACATAACTGACCACTGCAGCACCGTTGTTTCTTGTTTAATATACTTAGCATTCTCTTAGTATGTTTGCATTGCCTTATTTCTGGTTACAATTATCAGTGGAAGTTTGACATTTCTATTCTAACCTGATCAAAGAGAAAGTTTAGAAGAATACAGAGGAAATTTTTAAAGTACCAATGCCCTTCAGCTGTCGTAATGAACTGTGGAAAGTCGGAGTGTGCTAATGTTGGAATATGCTAATCCTTTGAATACTGCTCAGATAGGATTTTTCATTGTGGCTGGTCAGCACAATGGCTCCAGGAAGACCATCCTGATGAGACTGCTATTTGACTGCATGCTCCAAATTGCAAATTGCATCCTACATAAAATTCTTTCTCCTTTGTTAAGTCAGATCAATTTGGTTGGATAATGCTACGAAGCATCACTCTGCACAATTTGGTGAATCCTGTGCAGAAAGTACTGGAGTTAGGACGTCTCATTAAATAACTGACCTCTTCAAAAAAAAAAAAAAAAGAAAGAAAAAGAGGATTTACAGTTTTAAGATGTCATCAATTTTAGGAAAATAAATCTATATTGAAATAAATTTATATTTAAAGTCTATAAAATGTTACTATGGGGAATAGTAAGCTATTTTTGCTACATTTTTTCGTAGAATGTGCTGAGAAGTGAGAACGTCACCCTAAGGGGCAATCAAGAACAAGCCCATTCTCATCTAATGTCTTCTTTGTTTCTCAGCATTTATTTGGAGAAGTGAGAGAAAAAAGTAGGAAAGTACCAAATTGGAAGTTGTCAATTTGGGAAACTTTATTAATTTGACATGAAGAGGTCCTTTTTGATTAATAAAAAGCTGCATTTTACCTTCCTTAGAAGCTAAGAAGGCAGAGATTTTCAAGGCTGTATGGTTGCTCTGGGGTGTTATTGCATTGTCCAAAGACACAACCTACTCGGGAACCATGGGCCCAGGATGAGCTCAGCAGAGTAAAACATAAGAAAAGCACAAATTATATGCACTTTTCCACCAACTCCCACATTTCCTTTTCAGTTCCGTGATTTCAAATGCTTTTATTGCTGTGTTACAAATAAACTGGGCCCCTAGTGCAGATGACCAGAAATTAATGATCCTCATTAATAGAAATAAAAATGTTTGCTGTATTGCAAAATATTCAATAAATAAACCTATATAAGTGTATACTTTCATGTGAAAATCAATATTGTTGCTAAATAATAATAAACCAATTTTTATTATATCTGGGGATTATTTAAATGTTTTTGATCCCAAAATTAATTATATGACATATTTTCTGATCAGTGAAATTACTTTTTTGAAACGTTTATATTAATAGATATTTTTTAAAAATTCCTTGAATAAAATGTCATTTCTATGTTTTTATCATTTTTACAATACATGGTGGGATATTTTTATAGGCTTTTAGTATCCTAGTATGGCATTTCTTAAAGTATGACCCATAGGCTGTTTGTACTGTCCACTCAGGCCCTGCTGGGCCCAGATATAAATGAAAAGTGGCTTTCTTAGTCTGACCACATGCGTGGTTAGCACGTAATAATCAATTTAGCTCTCTGAAAGATCGGACCATACATTCTGTTAAGAATCACCGTGGGCTTTGATCCTAATAGGGAAAGATTCATTCTGGCATTAAAGACAAGTTGAAATGATTGGTCTCTCAGCTTGTTTCCAGGAATGTTTTGCCTGGTGGCTCTATGGGAGGAGATAGAGACATACAGGTAGGCATGTGTGTACTCCTTAGGTCTTACCATACGATGCTCTGTACCGCCCTCAGTCTCCCTCAGAAAGAACACCATCACCACACTGGGAATGAACCATCAGGCCTGCCCAGTCTTGGGCTATGACCCTCCAATATTGTAAACAAAATAAATCTTTTTAAGCATATTTATTTATTTGAAAGGTGGAGTTACAAAGGCAGATGCAGGGGCGGAGCCAAGATGGCGGAATAGTGAGGGCGCGCACCAATAGTCCCGGAAAATTTAGTTTAATAAAAGGGGAGTTACGGTAGCCGCAGAAAAAAAAAGCCAGGAAAAAATTGCACGGGAATCGTGAATCGGAGGACCTACTGGGAGAACAAGGTCGCCCACCGCGCTGAAGCCAAGTCGCGGGACCGAGCCGCAGAAGCCCCAGGGTCTGCGCGCCAGTGCTCCAAGGGGAGTGCATGCCACACAGACAACAGCGGGGAGACTTGGGACGCTCAGGGCTCCGAGTCCACACATCGGCGCTGGAAGGGGAGGTGAGCTCAATAACCCGAGACATTGGTGGGGAAACGGGGGTCAGAATCTAGAGGGGGGCCGGAAAGTGTAGCAAACTCACTACCGGAAAGAAGGAAAAAAAAAAGCTTCGGGGTTTCTCTTCCCCCTAACCTTGCAAAGGTTACAAGGCTGCAAGGCTTGAAGAATTCCCAAGAGACAAAGAGCAGGCCTCCTCTCTGGATTTACATATCAATGGGGGAGAGCTAAGGAACTGAGTCACTACAATTCAGTAGCCTAGGCAACCCAGTGGGAGTCCAGAGGAGCCAAAGACTGGAAGCTAAATACCATCAATTCTGCACAGCCCTGCCCTGCGGTGTTACTTACCCCCTGAATAAATAAAATAAATAAATAAATAAAAAGAGAGAGATTTACCACGCATAACCTGAGGGTGTCACCTTTGCACACCCTTAACCAGGAAGAACCAGGCAGAGCTCTCAGGCCGCACCCATCTCAAGCCTCCAAGGCTCCTCCAACAGCAGGCAGTCCACTTAACACGGACACAGTATAAAAAAAAAAAAAAAAAGAAGAAAAAACGCACAGTGACGCAAGAAGAATTAACTATGCCGAGTAACAAAC